CACTAATTATGGATGGAATTAGAGAACTTTGATTGCCACAAAATGGTTACGATTGTTAATTAATTAGCGCACGATTTTTTATTCTTCAAAAAACGATTCTATAGTGCAATGATAATAACTATTGTAAATGATCTCTCGACTTATTTTATCAAGGAAACGGACACAACTTTAATATATTTGAGAAATAATTCGCTAATAATGTAAAACCTGTTGTTATATGAAGACCTTCTATTAAAAGGTTTTGAAGATCATAACGAAGAGCAGAGCCATTAATCAGGATGATGGTGTTGTTGTTTTCGTCAGCAAATTTCTCAGACCGTCATCCTACGCAATAATTACATGTTTACACTTTTTTACACAAAATTTAGGTATAAAATTGTGAAAGCATCAAAAGTTACATCAACACTGTCCAAAAACGTTGGATTGCCATCAAATAGCCCAGCCAATGAGAATTTGTGGCAAATTTTAAAGAGACGTGTTGAAAAGCAAGCCAATAAAGTGTTAATTTTAAAAAAACCAGTTACTGCAGAAAGTTTTCGTGAAATAATCAAGAAAGAATGGGAGGGGATTGACAAAAAAATTTTTGTTAATTTAATTCATAGTATGCCGTCAAGGTTAAATGAAGTGATTGAGGAAAATGGCAATAAGATAAGCTACTAAGTAGTTTTAAGTAAACTTATTTATCAAATCATAAAGAGCATATCTATAAATTTTTATGTATTGTTAGCTTTTTTTCGTTGCACAATAATAATAAATAAAAACTACATTCCGATAATTTTTTCCGTGCGCTGTAAATCACTATAAAACTTTATTTCTATGTTTTTATGCTTACATTTATATAATATGGCAAAAATTTATGAATGTGTAAATTATATACGAAATATTTTCATTCAATACATATAATAGACACCATAGTAAATTTATTATCTCCATAGAATTATGCAAAATATTTTCATCAATTATAAAGTTACAATAAGTTTTTCTTATATATTCAAGTTTTAAAATAAAAATTTGTTTAAAATTCATTTTTTTTATTAAATCTAGGAATAATATGACATTCTTTAATGGATTCAAGAGGTATTAAATGGAATATTTCTATTTTTCTAATAGACAATCATATAAATGATAATTCCATATCATCCTTATTCAATCAAAAGGTTTGACATAGCATTGTGAAACATCAAAAGAACTAACTTTCTTGCTTTTGAATTAGAGTAAAACTTTTAATTTTATACTTGTTTCTGTATTCACAAGAAATGTTACCACTTAAATAAATTAGATGTTGAGATTTTTTCCCCCAGGGAATCACAATTTGTTTTATTTGAATACAAAAATCTTACAGCCAGGAGAGTTTTTTTCAATCTTTTTCCACAATTGCTACCGTAAAGTTTCAAAAGATGGCACCTGTGACATTTCCTTTTTTTATGGTTTGTCACGCAAAATTCATTATATTTTATAGAAAATTGTTATTTGTCACGATACCCTATTTTTTTTGGAACTTTACGGTATTATAAAGTTCATTATTATTGTAGACTTCTTGATAATTAAATATACTTGCATTAAAAATTTCTTTGTTAGAAAATATCCCTGGTACTGCATTCATGATTGTTCAAAAATAAAAGAAATATTCTACACCATTATATTCTAATAGATGATAAATTTATCGAAAAAAATGGATGGAATATTAATAAGGTTTGCTCCTCATCAATGTAATTTTATTAAAGGCCATTTTAGGTTAATTTCTAATTATTTCATATTTTCTGAAATTGAACGGTTCAAGTGTTAAGGATAATTCATAATTGTAATTACTAAATAATACTATATTAACAATAATGTATATTTCTCTTGCACATTAATTAATGATACTATTTATTGATAATAAAATACAATTTTAACATGTATATATTTGTGTCAAATAATAATGTGATTCTTGCATAATACATATTTTTTTTTTCATTTTTACTATATACGTATATGTAAACCTTATTGTTACGAAGGGTATGTAAAATAGATGCAAAAATATTACGTCAAATTGATGATGATTTTACATTAAAAAATTTGCTGATGAATGAATATTGAATCATTGAGAAAATATATTTGAAACAAAGATCCCAATTCATCAAATATTATTTTTTTAAAGAGGATTATTCAGTTTAGGTATGTGCAAAGAAAGATTACCTTCAAGAGATTCACTTAAATTACATGAAATAAGTTATTCAGTTTGAATGATACTACCTTCCGCCTCTAATGACTCCAATACTTGTTTACTTCATCTCTACTACTAAAAAGCAGGTAGTATAGAAATACGAAGTATGGACAATTTCATACCTTCGGCAACGCCATTTATCTATTTTATTAATTGTTTTTATTTAAGAGAGATATAACTGCATCAAACTTTGTAATAAAACTAGTTTTGTCATATATTACAATTTAAGGCATCTTAAAATTCTTTCATGTCAAAATACTATACAACTATAGAGATAGGCTGTTACTGGATTTTTAATCAGGAACAAACAAGAAAACGTTAGTTTCGTTATCCGTTGTTGTTTGTTTTCACACTTAAATAAATATTTCTTTTAGTTCAAATTTGACTTGCCTTTCACCAATTGAGAAACATTACCAGGAGGAGGCTGGAAGAACCAGTCGTGGAGGTATAAAGCAAAGAATATCTTATAATTTTTGTGATAGACTCAGTTGCATCTTTATCATAAAATTTTGTTATATACTCTGATATTCCGGATTCAACAGAATGATATCATTATTAGAGCTAATGATTGCAATTCATCGTATGTAAGCTTTTATTTTACCATGATAGTTAAATACTATATCTGATATGTTTGATTAACAATAAAAAGGTCTTTTGATGATAAATTCAAAATTCTATCCATTTAAAAATTGATAATAATATCAATATTAATAAATAAAATACAATAGCTTTAGACTTTGACCTTCATTTATTATATTTATCCTTTAATCTCTATATTTTAATGATTATAATAATATATTAATGCAATATTGGACATATTGAACCTAAAACTATCGTCATTTCTCTATCGTTCTTTCTAATACATTTCAATTGTGTATTTTATTAGCAGAATTAATGAGAAAAATGGTTTATTTCTAATGTATTCTTATTTAAACGGTTAATTTGTATTTATTGTTATTATTATTGTTTTATTTCCTTCCGTATATGAATACTACACCTTCTAGCAATATTTAATATTAACCCGATTTTCTGACTCTAAACATTATTTATTCCTTTAAATACATACTCCATATACCATCTATCATCAACATTGTTATATAATTTATAGAGCAAATTTTTCTATCTCCTTCTATCTCTATTTATTTGTAAAGCAGCAAAATTTCAGGGAATTTCTAATGATAATATTAATATATACTTACAGGGGTGGATATTTTTGTGTCCAAAGTATCAACATAAATTATAAATTACTGATTTAGTTAGCAAAGTGAAAAAACTATTGTTGCGGCGGAAGAGGACTTATTCCTGGACGATTGGGTAGTAAAAGTTTTTATGATAGCATGTAGTCACATGACGTTTGTCATAAATTTTTTTTTTGAAAAGAATAATAATAAAAATAATATTGATTGTGATTGAAGCACACAAAAAAATAATAATAATTAATTAAAAACTAACCTTGTTTTTTAAAATGCGTTATTCCCCCTATAACTATTATATTCCATATGGAGTAATCGACAACTAACAATTAATTTATTGTTCAATAAATCCAAAGGTATATTGTGTAATCATACATATATATTATTATAGCAATAGGAATAATATAATGATGTTTTTTTTTGACAGTTGTTTACTACTTGAGTAATTTTGGCTAAATTTATATTATGTGCATAGTAAATTCATAAATTAAATTTCATAAATTATGCAATGACATTTCCTTTTGCATAGTTCATGCATATGTCAATTTTCTTAATCTTGCTTTATTTCATAGTAATGGTAATAATAGATTATAACAATAGATGATAATCTTTCTACACAACTTGGTGAGCGTCTGCTTTCCAAATTTCTACAATCTTCTCACGAACTTGTATTTATTGTTCAACAAATAACCTCATTAGGTTTTGCATAGTTTGTTCTCGGTAAATCATTCCTCTTTCTCTTTGTACTGTAATCGCCAATAGACAAAAGGTAAGAAAATACAACACTTAGAAAAATAAGAAAATAAGGAATTTCATCTTTGTCTTCATATCGACAGAAAGGAAGGTGATAAAAGACTAAATAGCAAAGATAAGAGCCAAAGCAATCATGGCGCAAAGTGATGACATCAAACAAGGCATCAGTCCACTCGTAATAAATTATTTGGTATCAATATTAGCAATTAATTGAAACGATTTTAAACCATCTTTTTTTATACCTTTTCATATTACAAGATATGTAATGTAGTGTAGTGTAATGCAAATAGTTTAATTATTGATAATAAAAAAGTTAGAATTGGTGAGCCAACTAGTAAAGCGAATTATTTAAGGGATAAATGAATGAATGAATGAATGAATGAATGAATGAAGATAATATACAATAAGGTGGAATAAGTATATAATTTGTATTTATTTGGATATTTTTTATTCAAACCTGTAGATCATCTCTAATTAGGCAACACGTGTAAGAGTTTGCATAAATTTGAGGGCTGAACATATTATCACGTGGAGGTTTTATCAGTTACATAAGTTCATCAGAAAAATTTTGAAGCCACATATTTTCAACGTGTCAACGTGTCATTTTCTCATCCTAGTAAAAGAGGACCCCAGACAACCAGCTTTTAAGATGATCTTTTCCCTCATATTTAGCAATAATAAAAGGTTTGCTGATATCTTTGCACGTAGCCTCTGATAGTATTCTCTGGGTCCTATATGTAAAAGACTCAAGAACGGCATGAAACTTTTTCTTCTGATATATTTGTATAGTAAACAGCAAGTATTGATGTTGAATTACGGAAGTTTGAATAAAGTTCTATCTCCATTGTTCAGCTGTCAAAACCGGGACTCAAGAATGTCTCATCTTCAACACCTGAATGCTTTCCATCAAGCTATAGATAAAAAAATGATTCTAGTTTCTTCTATACTTTCTAGTTTGTTGTACACTTTGTATTGTGTTACTTCACAGTTGTGTCCATAAACCAACTGTTGTGAATTGTGATGGGGAGAGATTACCAGGTACAACCATATGAACAACTGCTGAGCGAGTTGATATGTTCGTTCAACAAGAATAAGCCACCAATAAAGATTGTGATTAAAATTTGTGATTTTTATGTTGATGTAAATTCAAATTGAATATTCTGCTAATATTAATAATACAATCATTTTTAACCACATTTAGGAGAAAGCGTTTTATAATAGCTAATTGAAGACATTTGTTAAAAATAAAAACTTGGATCTTTGATTAACATAACGTCTTGTTTGAACAAAATCCACTCAGTATATTTCCCTTTGTATTGTGAATCTACAAAGGACAATGATCTCATCATTGTTTAAGCAACGAAACATTCCCAAAACGGATTGAATTTATTTGGTGGTCATGGTGAATTTAATGAATGGTGCGGGTTGTGATCAATTTTATAGAAAAAGTTTAGGTATTGATGAAAAAAACTTTCCCAAGTTGAAAAAATAATATAATTTTTGTTGCTTTTATAGCTTATGCTCTGTTCATTTAATAAGTTAGTCTCACACTTGGTTTATTTGCATTCTTCCATTTTGTGTAATTGCAAAAAAAAAATTCCAGCTTGTTGTGAGTTTTTGAAAAATTAAGAATTGCTAAGTCTATTTGTTTAATTTTATTCTCTTATTCCAACTGCCAATGAAAAAGTCAACTGTTGTAGAATTACTCAGGATTCCTCCCTTGCAAATGCAGAACAAAAAGAGCACTCTGCAGAAAATCAATTAAAAGCTTGGATTTTGGAACTAAGACAAAAGGGAATGGCTGCTGAATTAAATCTCAAATGAAACATTCAATTATCCTTGAGCAATTGAAAAATTTCAAGCATCTGAAAGGTGTGCCTTTAAGAAGATCTGATTTAACTCTTGAAGAAGACCAAAAAATTTTCTGAACAACTTAAAATCATATGATTAACATCAAATAGTACCATTTATAAAATTAGGAAATGCTATTTATGGTGTGGTTAACGAAAATAGAATTTGTTAATGGAAGTTTCCAGAGGTAGACTTCTAATTCTGTCTTTAGATATAATGTTAAATTAAAAGGTTATTTGTTTACCTTGACTAATCAAGGACTCGACCACTTTCTTATCCACATCTTCAGCTGACCCTTGAATTTTACTCTTATAATTTCTCTTATTATAAAATTTTGAAATCTCAGAAAACATACTATATTGAGTCCTTCCTTATTTGAATGTTTGGTTATGAAGGTACATGATTTTGCAAATTGCTTTGTTCATGATAGTGATTAATATCTTTAAACAGTAGTTTATCACCCCAAATTCTTTAATAACCTAATTATCCCTGTTGTAATTGTCATTATTAGATATGCACATATCCCACTTTCTGGGATTAAATATAGATACATCCCTACTTTCAAGACAAGTACTTCTTTAAAACATGGTTGTTGCACTTGACCCTCAAGCCTCTTCCAAAGTTCACCTCACAATACACTTGGAAAACATAATATTTACCCATTCTCATCTTCAATGGTTCACAGCAATATGCCTCAAAACACCTAGAATCTGAATCTAGCAACTTTCCTCCTGTGATGAACTTTGCACTCTTTTCTCCATTTACAAGTGTAGCTGCATTGAGTTCCAGATCTTTTATATAATTACCAATAAGATCCAAGTCCTTTAATTCCTGACAGACAAACTTTGACTTTTCTCAACTTCACAAACTTGAAGCTACTCTGGGTAAGATCAAGCATGCTTAAATAATTGGCCCCTCTCTTGACATGTTTGTTAAGTCATTCTTCACTTCTTTATACTTTAACATTCTCAGCCTCAAGTTTACACTACACTATAAGCTATCTTTATTTTTCCACCCATGTTTAACAAAAAGTTCTAAAATTGTCAATTCCCATAATCAGTTAACAGAAGTTGAATATTCTTCGAATTCATTAAACCAAAAGAACAATTAATTATTAAACCTAAAAAAGAATGGGTAGTCTAATTAGGAATAAATTTATATGTACATCTCACTAAAAATCAGGGTGGTATGTTTTAACTTTGAACCCTTAAATCATTTCGCTGCTACGACTATACATGTTGTCAAAATTAATTGGCTTTGACTCAATTCCTAAAATCTCAATTTTTAATTGTGTCTGACTCAATTATTTATATGTTTTGACGTCAAAAAGTCACCTGATTGAGTCAAGTGATCAACCTATTTCTACGACATGTATAGCTACGACTGACTACACATGATAAATAAATAAATTTCCCCACATTTTGTATTATTTATTCATAAACAACTAAACAACAACAACAATAAAAAGAGGAGAGAGTGTGAATGGTGAGAAGGAAAGAAGAGAAGGAAAAACATGGATAAATACATATAAATTGATAAATATTTTCATTATTAATCAAATATGGATAAAGTTAGAGATCAAAAGAGAGCAAAGACAGATTTCTATTTAGTAAATAAAAATAATGATGAAAGAAACGCCAATATTTCTATATTAAATAAATAATGATAATAATAACAATATTTTACATTGTTCTATTCTAAATTCTAAATAAAAATTAAATTTAATCTAAAAAAAAATATTTTTATCAAAAATTTTGACAATTTGAAATTTTTAGATTGTTTTTACACTGCTCTCACGTGTTTTTCTTGTTTTTGCCACATTCTAAATGTATTATTTTATGCGTGGCTTTATCATTTTGTCAAAAATTTGTCCTCCCCAATTGGGTATTATTCTAATTTTAGACAAAATGACGATTGCAAATTAATTGGTGATTGTCACTATAACTAACTCTTCAAGAAATAGAAAGTGCTAAAATAATCGATTTTTATTGCATTCTTTTTTTTGCATGAATGAATGAATGAATGAATAGTAAACCCGAGGGATATTTTGCATTTTAACAACAATTAGCAATAATTAACAACAAAACAACAACATAATTATAAATTATCAAAAAAAAAAAAAAAAAAAAAAGACAACAACAAATGATCATCTCTATATTTTTTTAGAGCTAAATATTAATTGTTTACCTTGCAAACAAATATTAAAGAAAAGATTAATGAGCGAGTAAAAAATAATGGATGAATGCACGGATGAATTTATTATTAATAGGAGAGGATAGATGTCATTAATTCAAATCTTATTTGGAAATTTTAGGGATCCCTGGTTTTTATTTATTGTCGCATATTTTAAGATTTTCTTAATAGAATTATTCAAAAGCAGACATTTTGTTTTGTGTAACTTCCTATATATATATATTTTTTTATTTTCTGTAGTTGGGGGTTCGTCGTAATCACCGATTTTCTATTATTATAAATAAGCAATCGGGTTTTATTTTTAATCTTTAAATCAAGCCTTAATCAATTATTTGGATTATTGATGATGACAATAATAGGAAAGAAGGAAAAATAACAAACGGAAGAATAACAAACGGAAGAATAACAAACGGAAGAATAACAAGCGAAAGAATAATAATAGCAAGAAGAAAGAGGGTTAATAATGGGAGAAAGAAATAATTAGAAAAATTTTTTTTTTGCTCCTTCTCTCTAAAAATACTTTCAATTCTCCTAACAAGGCTCATTAAACAGCTTTAAAAACTATTCATATAACCCTCCTAATCGCCAAACTCAATTCAACCAATCAAATCAATAATAAAATAAATAATATAAAAGAAATAGTCCAAAACAAATAATAATATAATAAATATAATAATAAAAAATAATTACCATTCCAACAACTAACATTATTTTATTTATTTATTTATTTATTTATTTATTTATTTATACATGTAATATAATAGTTATTATATTTTAATTTTCTAAATTCAAAAAAATTTTTTCTTTACTTTTTTTATTATTTTTTTTTTAATTTTTCTCAAAAAAAGTTTTTCTTCTTTACTCTTTATATATTACATTATTATAAAAATTATAAACTTAAATACAAGTTTATTTATTATACTAAAAAATATTTTTAACGGTCGGACTTTATTATTTTGGTAGAAATATAATTTTTATGCAATATTATATATAATACACATACAAAAAAAAATTCATTAATTTAACAAATTATCATTATTATTGTTATATAGAATGCACTCATGCAATTGGCTACTCAAATTCATACATCCTTGAGCCCATCACCAAAAATTGGTTCTAAAGTACAAACCAAAACAAAAAAGACAATGTCTCCAAGCGAAGTATCTGTAAACGTCATGGGTAAGTTGTATATTTAGTAAAATTATATCAATAATAAGAAAACTATCGTTATTACTATTTATTCTATATATATATTATTACAATACTTGTAAATTTAAACATGAATTAGTTATATTATTAGTGGTATTTTATTCTTTTGCTACAAAGTGCTTTTAATCTATAGTCATAAGCATTGCATTATTATTATAAGAGAGTTTTCATCCAAATAATTAATTGAATAATATAATCTTATTTTACGCACACACACACACACACATATACGCATACAGATTCTGTACAAAAGTCCGGTTCTTCACGAAGACATACAGTTACATCATCTTCAAGTAAATCTTCTAGTCAATCTAAACATAAATCAAATATTTCTGATTTTCCACCATGGTTAAACAACAATAACAGCAATAACAGCATCAATGCTCCTTCAAGCACTAGCTTTATATCATCTTCGTCGCCTTCTTCAAGAGCGTCTTCATCATCACATAAAAAAGGTGGTAATAGTCTTTCAAAAAAGTCAAGCTCAAAGTCACTCAGAAGTACCAATAATAACGGTGTTGTCGCCATCACTACTGTTGATAATGTTGTTGCACAAAAAGATGAACAACAAGAAGAAAGACCAAGAAATAGTAGAAAATCAAGCAAAGAAGCTTATAAAGAAACATTGTCTATATTTAAAGATTTACAACAAGTAGAAAGTGAACTTGACACTCATACAAATCAACTAATTGGTAGAATGAAAAAGTTATTCGATGTCCCTGGTGAAAATAATACTACTAAAAATAACGTTGATGTTAATATTAGCACAATATCAAATGACTCTTCCTCATCAAGTTATAATAACAATCTTGGTGAAAAACTAAAACGTTCTCCGTCAGCGTCTAAACGTTCTTCCGCATTGACTCCTACCACCACTTCTAAACCTTTATTAAATCGTCGTATAAGTGCACAAGATTCTGCCAAATCTTCTCCAAATTCTTCATCATCAATGATAAATGGTTCAACAGGCAGTAATAGTAGTAGAAGAACTAGTAATTCTAGTAGTGGCTCATCATCAAGTAAAACAAGTAATACTAATAATAACATTTATAGTCACGGTCGTTATGCTAGTGAAACTCTTGCTATGGTGAGTTCAAATCTTACATCACCACCATCATCAAAAACCTTAAAAGGTGCAAAATCTGAAGAAAAATTAAATTCACCGCCTAATTCAAATTCTTCTTCATCTTCTAAACATAAGAAAAAAGATAGTAGTAGCCATAATAATAGTAAAAGAAAACCTTTTGTCGACACTTCTACATCAACAAAAACTCGTGCAATGCAACAGTTAGAGGACTTTACTTCATTCAGAGACTTTAATAATGAACCTTCTAGTACTAAAAGATTAAGCGGTAATAATAATAGAAGTAAAAGTAGCAATAGTAATCGTTTAAAAAAATTTAACAATGAAAAATCAGTTGTTGATAAAAATAATTTAATTATTATAGGTTCGTATGGTGATGATATTAAGTCTGATATACATGGTGATACTCCTTCTCCTTTACTGCCTGGTATCACCAGATCAAAAACAATGCCCATAACGCCATTGCAAAATAATAATAGTAATAATAATAATAATGACAATAATAATTCACATTCAAAATTGTCACCTCAAATTTCATCTCGTAATCAAAATCATACTAGCACTGGAATTTTCCCACCTTTATCAAAGAACATCCAAGGAATTCTAGATAAATCAGACAGTTTAACCGAAAGCATCCTAAGCGCAAGTTCATTGACAACTGCTATATCATTACCATCATCATCATTAACGTCATCAACAATGTCTTCAAATACCACCGCTCCTTCTTCTGCCACAAGAAGAAGAAAATCTGTAGTTGAGATACCATTAAATAATTCTTCTAATCATAATCATCACGCTAATGATTATAGTCATGGTTATGGTAATAATAATATTATCACATCTTCTTCGCTGCCAAAAAATTCAAATATTGGCAGAAATATAACCCCGACAGTCTCATTTCATCGTTCATTTAATCAACCCCAATTAAAAGATACTCAACTTCCACCCCCAATATCATCAGTACCGCCAAGTTTATTACCGCAACCTAAATCATCAAAAGATTTTGTACCGCCATTAATAATACCGCCAGTACCTTCATCAATAATGAAAGATTCAACGAACAATGTTTCTTCTGATAAAAAAATTGTAAGTATAACAGCGCCAAAAGGTGATTTTGAGGATAGTAAAACACCACCACCACGTAGTAGTAAAAGAGATAACAATAGAAGTACAGATGGCCATGCATCGTCCTCAAAGAAAGCTGTAGGTAGAAAAAGAGGAACGGTATGTGAAATACAAATAATAATAATTTAATAATATATCATAGTTTATATGTATATCTATATATATTAATATTTTAGTTAGCAATAATTAATAACAATAGTTTTTATTTATACAATCACACCCATACATACATATATCTATTATTATAAAATAATTGTTAAAATTTAAATTAAATTAAATTAGACGTCGGGAACACTATCTAGTGATAAGATTATCAGACGACAGGTTGGATCTGTTTGTTGTTAGTTAGAAGTATAGAACAAAGGATTTTTTTTTAAAATTTCATACACTTACACCCCAAATTACCTCTTTCTCTTTCTCCTATATATATATATGCTATTTTTCTTTTATTTCTTTTCTATAAACATTATCATTATTATTATTCTAGACACTTCCTGCCAGCCTAGCTGTACCACAACAATTAGAAGCATTACATTTACCGCCGATGAATGTACAAGCACTGCCTCCAGTTAAAATACCGAAAAATTCTAATTCTAAACCATCCCTATCTTCAAAAACTCCCACATTGGAACGAAATTCAAGGATACCTTCTACACCAACTTCGGCTGTCAGTACCACCTTCTCAACAAAATTACCAACACCAACAGGTATCAAACCTAGAGTGATAAAAAGTGGTAGTGGTATTCCTCCTTTGTCTCAAAATAATCACAACCATCATAAATCAACAAGAGTTGCACCAGTTTCTCCTAATAAACCATCATCACGTGGATCATCATCTGTCGGTGGAAGAAAAAGTTCCGTGTCTCAAAGGAAAACACCAAGTAAGTGTGAAAATTTATTTCCTAATAGAAAAGAAAATAATCTAATAATTTTAATTAATTGTTTTATTATGTTTCTTTTTTTGCTTACAAAAAAAAATTTTTCAAAGCTTCGAAAGAAACAGCTTTAATCTTTGAGAAATTTAAAGTAAGATATTTAATAAAGATTATTTTTTTAAAATTTTTTTTTATTTCGTCTAGCCACAATTATAAGTGAAAAACCCACAACACCAAGAAAATCGAGACGAAGACTTTCTAATGCAATTATTAATATTTTTTCAAAGGATAATAATAATAATAACAAAATCCAAGGTCAACATAGTTCATCATCATTATCGAATTTCAGTAAAGCTTCAACATCTACCGGCATTTCAACGACGACAAACAGTGCTCTCATAGCTCGTAAACAACGTACAAATTCTCAGCCTGCTCCTAATAATATTAATCATTCATCAAGCCACCTGGGAACCTCACTGCATAACAGCTCAAATCATTTGAAATCGCCATCTTCATTATCATCCTTAACCGATCTAGAATCTTCCTCTTCAACAACTAGTACACCATGTGGATATAAAACCATTGATGAGGAAATTTTCTTGGCTGTTGGTGATGAGAATAGTAATAGTTTAAATTACTTGAATGATCTTGAACAAGAGAAAAGAAAACTTAGAGCACAAAAGAAAAAAGAGCAACAAGATGCAAGGTTTGAACTTTCAATCCCAATGAAACCACAAGAGGCTTTGAAAACTTATGCACCATATTTGTCGTTGTATGAGCGTACAGAAATAATGGACTTTCCAGAGGTTTACTTTGTTGGCCCAAATGCTGCCAAAGCGGCTGCTAGTCCTGAATTGAAGGGATGTAATTATGGTTTTGACGATGAACGTGGTGATTATAAAGTAGTGATGGGTGATCATTTATGTTTCAGATTCGAGATAGTAGATACTTTAGGCAAAGGTTCCTTTGGCCAGGTGCTGAAGTGTTTAGATCACAAAACTGGAGAATATATTGCTGTTAAAATCATTAGGAATAAGAAAAGATTTCATTGTCAAGCACTTGTTGAAGTTAATATACTTGAAAATTTGACTCGCTGGGTAAGTTTTCTTTTTTTTTTTTTTTTTTTTCTAGTTGACGTAACCATCAATACTTCTTTCCAAATTATAATTATCCAATTAATATTGTTGAGAACGAAGTATCATTGAATTATCGAAGCCATACATATATTTTTTGAATTGTTACAATATTTCGAAAATTATAGAATCCAAATTATTCTTCTAATATTATTCACATGCATGAGCATTTTTATTTCCGAAATCACTTTTGCATTGGTTTTTAATATTTATATATATTTTATTTTTGAAAATTATAGGACCCAGATGATTCTTCTAATATTATTCATATGCATGAGCATTTTTATTTCCGAAATCACTTGTGCATTGGTTTCGAGTTATTAAGCATGAACTTGTATGAATTCATTAAGAAAACTAACTTCCAAGGTTTCAGTTTGGGATTAATCAAAAGGTTTTGTGTCCAACTTCTGAATTCACTTTCATTACTACAACGACATCGTATTGTGCATTGTGATTTGAAACCTGAGGTAAAGTATTATTATTATATTTCTTTTTTTGTAAAAAAAAGATACTAACAAAAACAATTTTTATAATTGGTTATAACAATAATAGAACGTATTACTTAAACATCCTACAAAAAGCAGTATTAAAGTAATTGATTTTGGTAGTAGTTGCTTCGATAATGAAAAGGTTTATACATACATTCAAAGTAGATTTTATCGTTCACCCGAAGTAATTTTGGGTATGACTTATAATATGGCAATTGATATGTGGAGTTTAGGCTGTATATTAGCTGAATTATATACAGGTAAAAAAAGATTTTTTGACTGTTTGTAAATTTTCACAAAAAAAAAAAAAAATTATTCTAATTAATTAATTAATTATATTAAAAAAGGTTATCCATTGTTCCCTGGAGAAAATGAACAAGAACAATTAGCTTGTATAATGGAGGTTCAAGGTGTCCCGTCACTTTATTTAATTGAGAAGAGCACCAGGAAAAAATTATTTTTTGGTAAGCACAAATACAAATATAAAGATTTTATGATTAATAAATTAATTGATTGATTAATTTTCTTTTTTTTTTTTTAATAAAAGATGTAAATGGAAATCCTCGTCCAGTTATTAATTCAAAAGGAAAGAGAAGAAAACCTTCTTCTAAAAGCTTGGGTCAAGCTTTGAAATGTAGTGATGAAGTCTTTTTAGATTTCATATCTCGTTGTTTACAATGGGATCCTGAAAAACGTATGAAACCTGATGAGGGGCTTATGCATGAATGGATAACTGATGTAAAGATTAATGTGAGTATTTATTATGAGTTTTGAATTATAAATTTTTTTAAAATTTGAAACTTTATATATTAAATATCTTTTTTCTTCTTTTCCAAAAGACTAAGAATTATCCAAGGTGATCACAAGTACATAAAAATAAAAAAAACTACTTGTTGATCAAAAACCATTGTATTTTATGTAAAATATATATTTTTTTTTCCAAAATCAAAACAATTATTTATATATTTATTTTTAATTTTTATTATATATATGAAATTTTTTTACTCTTCCTTTTTTTTAATAGAACTTTTTTTTTCAACACCCCACATCATATATATATATATATATATATATATAGCATTTTACTATGTGCCACTTTATTTATTTTTTTTTTTTAAATTATTTTTTTTTTTAAAATAGTTAAAACACGTACACGTTTGCTATATGACTTTTTTTTTATACGTTATATACATTTATGCAAACAATATTTATATATCAAAATTTTTTTATATATATAGAATTTATTTTTTTTGTTATTGAACAATTGGATTATTTTTTTAAAAAAAATATATATATAATAATTTATTTATTTATATATATATATATATATATATATAAAATAAAAACAAAACAAATGGGAATAATATGGGGACGTACTGCACAAAGTGAACATTACCTCAAAGAAATTGTTTAACAATCCCTCCATGTAGCATTAATCGATTTGATTATCTGAATAGGCAATACTTAATACTCATAAATAGCTCTGGGTCCGAGTATTTTCCCGTGGAATTGCTCTGGTGGTTTTTATCTTACAAATTATTATGAATCAAAATAAATAAAACATGGATTTTTATTATTGTTTAATCCTTTTCCTCCCTTTCTTTGTATGTAACCTTTGTCTCCATATATTGTGAGACCATGCGAGTAAAACTTTTAAGGAGTCAATTTAATAATATCCAAGGTAGGGAGATCCGAGTAAGATATTTTTTCCTTCCTGATTTTATACAATCGCAACATCTATGCAAGCCTCTCATTATTATCCCGGTCAAAAATTTATTCTGACGATGACTTTGTAGTGCAGCTTTATCATAGCTTTCGGTTTTCCTCGCAAGATCACTGTCACGTAAGATATTAACGGTGAATGTTCATTTAATTAATTTAATTAGTGTTTTTATGAAGTAATATAAATAATATAAACAATTTTTTTAAAAAAACAATTATTCTAATGGTTGTTGGATTAATTACCAAATTAAAATCATCCATCATTTGAAAAATACGTGTCTACCTTTTGATCTGCAATGTGGAATAGTGGCGTGGAAAGGAGTCTAAACATGGAAGAAGACCCTTTGAAAAACAAAAGGTAATTTCAATAAAATTCGGGAACCCAAAAATTTCCCATTTCATTTGAGAGAATTACTTTTTGCGAAACAACTAAATATTCATAACATTTGTCAAAATATAATAAATGATCGAAGATTAAAAAGTTATTGGCAATCGATATATTCAATGTATCCATTTTATTTTAATTAATATTAATATTAATGAATTCGGTCAGCAATCAACTAATACTAATACTACTAATACTAATACTACTAATACTAATAATAATAATAAAAATTGCGATTTCTATTATCGATGAAATGTATTATGTGAAACATTGTAAAATTTTCAATATGCAAAATTATGCAGGGACGTTTTAGGACTTAAAGGGACCGGACCTGAAAAGGCCGTACCTGGATTGTTCAGGACCCGATCTCTAAGGACCCCTAGTTGTAATTATTATTTATGCATAATATCTTTAAAGTACAAATTTAGTAACATTTAATTCTTCCATTGTAAGCATTGTTGTAACTTCGTAATTGACATAAAAGTTAATAATAATATAATAATAATCCTTACTTTCAATTTGTATTATATAAATATGTCAAGCCACAGAGTCAGCGTTTGGACTGGTTATCTGTTATTTAATTGGTTCAATTCTAGCAATGTCTTTGCATTGTCAAGAGAACACAATGATAACAAGATGATAATTCTTGAATTGGTAAAATTATTCTATATTTAAAAAAAAATATATTTTTAATTAAATCAATTGATAAGATTTTTTATAAACATACACTGCCTGGAAGAAAGTATCCCGAACCTCGTTTTTTTATTAATTCCTAAAATTTTTAAAAATATCATTGTGTAGCTTATGTTCTCACAATTTTCAAACCAAAGGAAAATAAATAAACTTCAATTAAATTTGTGATTTTCATTCTCCAATTTTATTTAAATTTATATTCACACAATAAAAAAAAATCATCAAGAACGTCATTTTGTAGGCTAAGTTCTAAGGAATAATCAAGGAAAACTAGATCAAAATTTTTTTTAAAAAATCGGAATTAACTGAAGCTGAACGTGGGGGGGGGGGAGAGGTTGGACCTTAAAACAGGTGATAGTAGTCTTAATAGAATTGTAAAGATACTCAAACTTCCAAAGACTACAGTTTATGATACCATTAGACATTATGAAAATCCCGAAAGTTTAAAAGTGCTCCAAGAAGTTGTCGTCCCAATGCGTTAAAAGTTACTAAACAAAAAGAAATCTCATTAAGAAACAATCGCAGTTCTGCAGAAGAGATTCAAAGAAAATTTGCTGGAGTCAGTGGTGTTGAAGTGTCGGTTAAAAAATATCACCGTGTAGCTTACGTTCTCACGAATATGTATGTAAAATTTCACATTAATATATGTATACGCTACCATAAATATCCGACCACATGCTCCGTGTAACGTCAAATGAAAAAGTGCTTACTAAATAAAGTACGCTTTCTTTAATAAAACTTTTTCTGGTATACTAAGTAAACACATATTTGATATCAAAACTCTATATTAGAAAAATTTCGAGCAGTTCGGTATGGTATTAATGGAAATATTTAGCAAATCATCCAAAAAAGCAAATTTCCGATTGAATTTTTACATGTAATAAAGGTCAAATTTTTTTGTTGTAATGTATATTATTACCTTGATAAAACGTGCTTAACGTAACGGATTACATATATTTACAATACGGTGTCAGCATAAATTAGTTTATGAAAAGGGTTTAAAAAAGCATCCGACCACCCCGTAATTTTTTGAAAAATAAAATTGATGCGTAAAGTCAATTTTAAATCAACAGAACTTTCTGATTTTAAATGCGGAAGGATTATTGGTATGTGGGAAGCTGGCTTGAGTGAAAGAGGGATTCAAAAAAAAAAAAACTGAGCATAAAAAAACGATACAATAGCAAGATATAGAGATGGGGCAAATAAAACCAACACTAAGACCAGGTGGACCAGTAATAGCATCAGCTCGTGATAAAAGAGGTCTTATAAAAATTGTTAAAAAAGATAGAACACAAACTCTCTTCAATGTCACTGACCGATCTAATGGAACAACTAACTTATCTGTAAGTTCTTCAACTGTACGTAGATATATTCATGAATTAGGTTATTATGGTCGTGCTGGATTGAGAAAGCCTCTTATAAGTGAAAAAAAACAGAAAAGATCGTCCAGCATGGTGTCGTCTAAGAAAAAAATAGGGATTTAATAATATGGAGTGATGAATCACGGTTTGAAATATTTCAAAGTGATTCTCATCATCATGTGTGGCGTAGACCTCAAGAAAAGTATGTCATTGACTGTTTAATTCCAGCAGCAAAACATGGCGGTGATGGAGTTATGGTATGGGTTGTTTTGTAAATGGCAAACTTGGACCCGTTAGTTGAAGTTGATGGTCGTATTACTGGTTCAAAATATATGGAGAGAATTTAATTCCTTTTTAGATAGTTTAGATGGTCAATTGACATATTCCTTCCAGGACGATAATGCCCCCGCACACACAGCAAATGATACAATTAAATGGAGGGATGAACATTCAATTTCATATATTCAATGGCCTGCACAAAGTCCCGACCTTAATCCCATTGAACATTTGTGGGATGTTTTAGAAAGAAAACTTCGAGAAAGGATACCACATCCTAAAAATAAAAAAAGATTTGATTGTTGCATTGAAAGAGGAATGGGTAAAAATTGAACCCGAAGTAATAAAGAATTTAGTTGTTAGTATGTTGAGGAGAGTGATAGCTGTCATAGATAGTCATGGCAATCCAACAAGATACTGACTGACTTGCTTTTGCTAAACGTTTTATTTATTTTTATTACATAAAATATTTAATAAAAGTCAACAGAATACAGATTCTTGAGCTTTTACGTTTTGTTGTCTATACTAGACCAATTTTTCTCGAGATATTTTAAGTGACTTACTTAATGACATAATCTAGGTTTTAACGAAGTTTTGAACTGTTTTGCTCAAAGTTTTCATAAAAATCTTTTGTCTAATTTAAAATTCTCATCCTAAGTTCATTAATAATGCGAATTCAACAAAACTTTAAATTTATATTCAACTTTAAAAACATGTTTACTTAATGCACCAGTTCCGGTTTGGTTAATAAAATTTTGACTGCGTGAGGCACAAGTTTCCCAATTATTAAAATGATCATCAGGTGGTCGGATATTTATGATAGATGAGTGTACAGTACTCAACCTGTATATACCTGCGAAATTTGCTGATTATCGTTAAATAATAAATAACAAATAAATATTTTGAGGATCTCCCTTTTCCCAATAATCTTTTTTTAATTTAAGTAAAAGCATTTAAAATAGTAGTAAAGGTAAAGATTATCCAGTTTCTCTAGTTCTGGTTGGCTCTTTAAAAGAGGATTTACATTTTGACAACTTTCTCAGAAAAATAGATTTTAGTATAATCGATTAAACATCCTATCCCCACCTTTATAATTATATCTATTCCTAAGTATTCGTTCATTATATTATATTAGTTATTTTTTCCTGGTCTGTAATTAACCCTCGAAATAACTGTTGTTGTCAGTAGTTTAATTTCATCTGAATCCTATATACTTGGAAAGCCCTTCACATAGTTTGTGAAATATTTCTGACCTAAAATCTTAATATTCTAAATCCTTAATCATTGCATTTTTTGAAACTGGGGAAATTTTACCAAGGAATACACCAAAAAATTTTAATGCAGTGCCTGAGTTGTAAAGATCACTCACTCTACTTGATTCTTCCAACAAAAAAGTCTAACGTGGTATAATGTGTTTGAATTT